ATTCCTGTATGCAACTGTAAGCCTACATGAAAAAGGCAAACCAAAATATTTTGTTGAGATATTAAGATTAATTTTTAAAAGAATCCCTCATGTATTGTTTTCATGTATGTCTTTTCCCACAGGCACACGGAAACAAGGCATTGTCCCTTCCAGTCAATTTTCCCTTACCGAGTGATACCAGTAGTGTGCTTTCCCACTTCAACAGGGACCAGGCGTCACCCGGGGTTCTTTAGGGGAGTGGGTGGTGGGGGAAAGGCTGTTTTCTTTGTTTAATGGTATGTGTCCACCGGGAGAACTCTATGCTTTTCAAACTTCTTTCCTGAGGCTTCTATACCAGAGGTGCAAAGGATTTCAGATTTCTTTCATTTTTAATTGTTGGAAAGAGAGTTTCTGATGTGCAAAAGTTATGTCTTGTGCTATCTTTTGCTCTATGTACATGAATAAATTCTTCCACTGTTGTCATCGGGAGCTCCGTAAATACAGAAAGATGAGTGAGCCAAATTCTGCCATGGAGACCTTAGAAGATAATTTTATTCCTCAAGTACTCCCTTATTCAAATATTTGAATAGAAATATTGTGTTATGTGTACTCAGGAAACACTGTATTGATTTCAGTAGGTGTCATGAAGGACTGTAAGCAATCATCTACAAAAATAAACTTATTTTTGGAGATGACATCTTAAAAATTACTTTCTGGTATGTCAGGAATCACTTTGCTATGACTGCAGTTGATGTTTCAAGTGAAAATAATAGTCTCCACAAAAGTCTGGTGAAGAGCAGAAATAAACAAAATTCCAGACTCTCTTTGTATATGACACAAAAACACAAAGAGAAAAATTATAAAGACAGATAAACAATGTGGAACATGTCTACAGTATTGTTATAATTAACTCATTAATAATCCTCTATTCTGAATGATAGCTCACTCTGTAACATGAGTTGAATAAATTTTGTTTGTAATTTACTGCACAGTAAGTTACAGCTGAGAAAGTAAATAGGAGGCAAAAAGGAACACACAAAACCAAGTTTGAGGTTAATTAATTCCTCGGGTTATTTGGCAGTGGTTTGGCTTCACGGTTTTATAAAACATACTGAACTAAATTAAAACCAGGACACAATCTGAGTGAAAGCTGAGAAGAAAAAGTGGATCTACCTATTATTATTATCATAATTGCCATCATCATTATCACTATTACCACTATGAATATTTACACATACACAATGAAATGCAGGCACAAATATTGACTGTTTTCTCCCAGTGCTAAAAACCCTGCAAATTGAATGACGGTGTAACTTCTGATTTTAAGTAGATCACAGAAGAGAGGCAGCTGGATTAACTGAGATTTCAGGCAATACTAATGCATACAATTAGGCTATGCTTGATAATTTAGCCGAAATGTATTCTTTCTTGTTGAATTACTGCTCTGTCAGTTCTGCCTCTGTAATTATACCTATGACTAGCTTTTTCCCCACCTTTATCAGTGGCACTTGGCTACCTTAAACAGCAGATGCATCTGGCATCTCAAGTAAAACTAATGTAATAAAAATACACAAAATCTGGTAATTTTCTCATATTTCACTGTTCTCTAGCTCTCAAGAAGCAGACTACGTTCCCTACTTTTTACATGATTCCTCATTTTTTTTAGCTTATTTTGCCTGAGAATTTGGTAAAGACCTCTCACGAATCAATAGAAATACATCCAATATTTTTCTGTCTGAGAACAAGTATGAACAAATGCATTCTTTGACTAAAATAAACTGCTGACATCCATGACGTGCATAATGTTACATGGGTCAGAGCAAAAGCTATGCAATCTATGTGGTTGTTTTCTGATTCCCTTAAGTTGGATGGAATTATGTGGAAGTTAAAAGTATAGCACTCATATATATATATATACACACACACACACACACTTTTTGCTCATTTGGGTAAAGGTAACCACATTTAAATAATTATGTGTAGTCTATACAGATCTAACAAAAAAAAAAACCTATGTAAGTAAGTTGTAGCATCAGAAAGATCAGAAATGTGATGCAATTTAAGTATAAGAAGCAAAATTTTTTCCTCATGTAAAAAATAAGGTTATCTCATTTTGTATATCACTGTGTAATACTGTTAGATGTGTGAGAGTGCTTCTTAGAAAGCAGCTCACCCAAAGAGCACAAAGATGGTGATACATGAAACAGCAACTCTCTCTGCAGAGGGAAAATTGGGTTCAGAGTCTTCTGTTTGGGATACATCAATTGAGCAATGGAGTATCTTGGAGGCTTAATTTTTTTTTTTTTTTTTTTTTAACTAGGGTCAGTGAGACTCCAGGGTGGTAAGAATGAGTTTGAAGGTACAGTGGAGGTTTATCTGAATGGAATCTGGGGAACAATCTGTGGTAGCCATTGGGACAATAATGATGCAACAGTCGTATGTAGACAGCTTGCACTGGGGTAAGTTTCATTCTGTGTAAAAATCAGTCAACTTTTAGTGATGTTTCAGTAAAAAGGACAATTAATTTTGCAAATCCTGTGGGCTTTTTGTGTTTGATGATTTTTTTTTTCTGTTTGAAAGTTGTTGAATGCTGAAGTAGTTCTTTCCAGACTCCCTCGCTTCCTTCAATGGCGTTGTACTTCAAAGAGGTTGCTGTGAGAATCAGTATTTCATCTGAAAGTTGCATATGGGATCCGGAGAGGACCAGACCAGGGTAGATGCTTTGCCTTCAAAGTGGAAAGTCTGAACAGGTCAGAAAAGCTTAGGGCAAACAAAACCTGCTTTACAAGACACCTGGGACATGTCCACAAGAGCAGAAATATGAGGTCTGATCCCGATCTCACTTATGTTAGTGTCAATAAAGAACAGGTCCAGTGAGGTTACTGAATCTATAAAAATGTAAATGTGGCCGGAATTAGACTCTACATGGGCTCCTAATCATAGGAAAACTCTGGGTTCTAAGGAGCCTGGGATTACCCCGGTACTCATCCATTCTATCCTGCCAAAAACCATCTGGGACTCATCCTAGGGTTTTGGAAAATGTGGTATTTTTGTTGTGGACATCTTCATTTAGCTAGATGATCTGTATGGTTTACTTTCAGTGTTGCACATTGATAACAAAACCCAAAACCAGACAAATTTTGCAGCTTTACATTTTCATAGAGATATTTTACAGAGATATAGCAATACTGGACAGGCTGAAAGTCCCTGCATTGTCCTCACTGACCACTACTTCCCACTGCTGTCAGAACGGAGTTAATCAACAGGACCCTTTAAAAATAATTTGGTCATTAAACTCTAGAAAATGCCTATAGTGATACTGCAATTGCAATAAGAAGATGAAACTGAGGTAAGGAAGAAAACTCCCATACCAAAAGGGAGTTTTAAAAATAAAATGCAATTCCAGCTTCTGAAAAAAATCAATGATGTTCAAGTTAGCGACCAAATTACTTGATTATCCCCACTTAGCACCCCATTCAGTTTGCACTTCCTCAATAAGCCACGAAGTATGGCTGGCTTTATTGCTTTCCAGTATTTCTTTCAGCCACATACCAAAGTAGTGATTTTGTTTGCTACAAGCAGTAAAGGGCTTTTATAGCATACTTGCGCTGTGACATTCCTAATGATTATTCCACTTTTTAAGACTGCTAGCCAGAACTAAATCTAAGCTGTTTTATAATGTTCAATACTAATCTGGACACACCATGCCAACTTATAAAAATATGAGGATTAGATGAGATAAAAGTTCAGCCATCTGGAGGCCGTGATTTTGCTTATACTTCAGCTGTCTACGTGCAATGTCTCTGTTCCTCATTTTCATCCAAGTTCTTTTTGCCTTCCATACCCTAAACATTTCAGTTGAACAAGACTGCCACTGGCAAAAGTAGTTCAGTGATACGGGTGAATGGTTTGGTCTTTTCAACAGAAATGGCTTAAATCTGAACCCGGGCCAAGAAGTCCCAAGCAAACAGCAGTTGAAAGTTTCTGTTATCGTGAGTGTTTAGCAGAAATTTGGATCTATATACCACAGGTGAACTCACCAGGTATTACTGTTGCTTTTCAGGTGTTCCCATTTATCTGTTCCTTTGATTTTACAATATTTGAGCTTTGTTTTCCATTTAATTTTGTTCAGCATTACATGGAAGAAAAGATGGCTCAGTAACTGTCGCTGTAGACTCAGTATGTGAAGGAAAGTAAGCTGTTTATAAATGTTCTGGATGGATGGGAATGGCTGAATAGAGAATAATGGACATGGGCCTGATCTAATGGAGTATGAGGTAGTTTCACTGCCCCAGGGTCACAACTATATGACATGTGTATGGGCAGAGCACTGGTACATTTTAATGGAGTAAAGGAGAGGATAAGGGTGAAAGGCCCATTAGCATTACCTCTCCTGGCAGTGTAACTGCAGTGGGATGGTACTATAGATTCACCTATGGACTGTGGACTCTGTGTTGATTTTTGTAGTTAAGAACCGGGAGAACAGGAATGTAGCTGGCCCTGCAGCAACACAGGCCATTGTACTAAAATATCCCACAGCAAAATGCTGAGAACTGGGTCACATCTGTTACTTTTCTTTGTGCAGAAGACAATGCTGAACTGTATGAAAACGTGATGAATTTACAGTGCTGAAGAAAGTGTTTTCTTTTTTACTCCAAGATTTATATACGAGTAAAATGTTCCACTCTTCCTCCTCCCACTCTAATGTCCTATCCTCATTATTCTTCTTACAGTGAGAAAGGTACAGCAAAACACATACCATTTTCTGGACTGGGCCTTATTCCTGTGTACTGGAGTGAAGTGCGTTGTCGTGGCGATGAAGAAAATTTACTGTTATGTGAAAAAGTCATCTGTCAGGATGGAACATGTCCTCAAAAAATGGCAGCTGCTGTCACATGTAGCTCCTCCCTGGGTAAAAAAAATACATACGGTTTGGTTAACTCCTTACCTTATTTAAATAGAAGTAGTAATAATTACTCAGTATTCAATTAGAAAAAATTAAGACTTCTTGGAACAGGAAATTAAACAGATTGAATCATTGCATCATTAACTGTTTCAAGTCCCTCTATGCTGTGCAAGCAGCAACTAGCTGAACCACTTTTTACCTTACCACAATCAACAAGCAAATTACTGCTTTGAGATGTAGGTTGTGAGAAAGGATGAAGCAGCAAGAATCTCTGGCTGTGAAAGTAGGATTTTTTTTTAAAAAAACTGTTTTTTTATTAATCTGCTCGGAGGTTGTATTTGGTAGCTACGTGTCAATTTGTTATCTTTTCTTGAACAGTAGCAGCAATTTCCCTAACATCTTTGGTACAGAAGTGTTGGCATTCCTTACTGTGAACACGGATGACATCACACAAGGAACTGCAAAGTTTTTGCCCTATTCTGCATATGTTTGAAACAGGTTCAAGTCTTCCTAGCTGAAGATTCCTACCTCACACATCACTCACACAAGTCAAACTTATATTATTAGGAAAAAAAGTATTATTAATGTTTTAAGATATTTCAGATTATTTTAATAAACATGATAAACAGCAACTAAGTGGGCAATTATACCATCAGATGTAAGATACTGCTGACCTTGGGAAGGCTAAGATGGCAGTGCTGAGGAGATGGCAATGGCAGTCTCTTCAGTTGTAACCAAAACAGGTTTGGCTGCAGCCAGTTCTGTGCTGCCTTTCCTCTCCTTACTTACATTCCTATCCAAAGACATATGCATTTTAGTCCTAAAGCTCCACTATTCATGAGGAGTATTTTGATAAATGACTTCTAAAAAATTAGTTTGGACTTAATTTAGAAAACTATAGTGTAGAGGGAAGGCAGAATCTTTTTAAGCTAGGAGACAAGCTGAAGGACCAAAGCAAGAGAAATAGTTTTGCCTAAAGAAACTGAAAACTATAAATTCGCAAGTTATACTTTTAGATCATGAGGTTTTCCTTCTTTTTAGGGACATTTTCACCAGAGAACTTTGTTTTGCTCAGATAAATTTATTAAAGGACTGTTGTCTGTTTCAATAATACTGAAAGGAAGTTTATCAGTAATTTAGAGTCCATGATATGTGAAATGAGTTAAAATTGATCCTGAGTTTCAGCAGACTGAAGCTTTCACGTTTTGCATGTTCTACTGCAACTAGCCTTTTTCAATAATTACAAAAAACCCAGATTTCATACCAATGAAATAATAAGATGAAATTGGAGAAATGCCCTCAATTTTCTTTTTTTAAGCCAAGAAATAGATGAAATAGTAGCATTAATTATTTGGGAGGCCTACACAAAGATTAATCACATTTAAAATCATTCAGATGTTAGATATGGTGAAACTTTAACATGACCTTTTAAATACTAGAGCTTTTTTTTTTTTAATATGGTTTTAAGCTATTTCCATTATTACAGCTTTATGCAGAAGTGATGCTTTCAAGGCAATTTATTGCTGGACCAGAAAAGGGCTAATGGTTTGAAAATACAAAAAAATCAAACCGTATCTCAGAAATGGGAAGGGAACAATACTTACACAATTAAAGTGAGACTCCACAGTCAATTGAGATTTCACTGCTCTGTCTGGAATTACCAAAAGTAATGAGAAAACATGAGGATAAATGTCTGCTTCTGTGGCAATGAAAGAATTTTTGCCTCTTGCTTCAGATTTTACCCGCTGGGACCAAGCCTATACAAAGCCAATTTTGCTCTTACTTGTAGAAATGCAGCTCTACTGACTGATTGTAATATTTGTCCCTAAGTATCTGTGAACGCTGTGACACTTAAGTAACTGAAGATCAGTACGGTTACTTGTCTGTATAGTATTCTTCAACTACTGAAAGTGGAGCTTAGGGGAACTAATTTCTAGAGAAGTTTAATTTCAGGTTTTCCATTTAACTAGAAAAAAGAAAGCGTGGTTCTTGAGTGATGTCAGAGAAACCATTAAGCCATCTTCTTTTTTCTTTACTACCAGGAAAACATTTTGGGAAAGAAGTGACCTTTTTCGATATTCTGTGTTTGTTCACAGCCCCTGTCTTTACTCCGATCCGGCTGGCTGGTGGGAACAACGCTCACGAAGGAAGAGTAGAAGTCTACCATGCTGGCCAGTGGGGGACTGTCTGTGATGATCAGTGGGATGATGCAGATGCTGAAGTTGTCTGTCGGCAGCTTGGCCTTGGGTTTGTTTTTCTATGTATTTTCTACTCCATCAACAAAGCAGGAGAGTTTGTCAGATACATAGCTTGGAGTTGTCAAAAGATGCCCCTTTAAAATCGCACTAATACTCTGAAGCAGTAACTAAGTTTACTTATAGAAGGTTCAGGTACAGCACCATTACTTTCAATTCCCTGGAACTGTGATTTATAGGATCCAGTTTTCAGTGTCATATGATAGAGCAATTTTGCCCGTAGGACAGAAAAAGGATGTGTCTCAGAATAAATGCTGACTTTTTAGTGAAAACTCGCTACAGTTTCAGTACAGTCAAAAATGTAGGTGAAGAAAAGGAAGCTGCTTTGACTGTTAAAATCCTTACATCCATTTTACTGAAGAGTCTTAACAGCCTCCTTGCTTTGGAGTAAGAGCACTGCTTTGCCAGACAGTATATGTTTTTGGCATGCCTGTGAGAATCTCTCAAGGTTTGTTTAAGTCACAAGTCTCTGAAGATTGTCAGTGTGCATATACTGAGTAGAGATCTATTTGAAGTTTTGACAGTTAAGCTTGTCAGAGATTCTGTCTGAACTAAGCGTGGTCCGTAATATAGTCACAGCAGCAGAACAGAATTTTCTTGCTCCTATTCTGAACAGCCGGGGGTGATTTTGAAGCCATACAGAAGTTAAGTGTTCAGTATTTGAGGAAAGATGCTGCAGAAGTGGGAGGCAAAAGAGGAGAACTGCTGAGTCAGAGACGAAGGAGATGGAGACAATTGGGATGAAAGGCCAGATGGGTTGAAGAGGGAAACTAGGAGCAAGTTGCAGAGAATATACTAAGATAAACCCAAGGAGGAGAAAGGGATTGTGTCAGACAGACTGGATGAGAACTAAGCAGGTCAGTGCAGAGGAGCCTGGAACAGAACTCACCTGTTCAGCCCTGCTGGTATAACAATGAATTAAAAGAAGTGGCACTGAAGGTAGCAAGCTTTGTGGCATTAATGGGTGGCCGCCAGAGCGTACTTCTTTTGTAACGTGAAACTGAGGCCTTGGACTGCTGGTGCCGTCCAAATTAGCTCAGAAGGATGAGAACTGTGCAGTACTTAAAAAGCTGCTAGATCTCCTGGTGAGCCATGTGGGAATCAACATGCTCCTCTGACATCACATTTTAATTTTTGCCCAGTTTATTTTGTGCTATATTTATACATTCCTGTATATTTTCAATTGGGAATACCAAATAGAAAGTCTATCTCCTTACAGGCTTTTTCTTCTTTTGACTTGGGCCACTATTAATAAGTTTGGAGAGCTACTAAGTTATGCTGTATACTAATGACAAATGTTATGCTCTTAACCTGCCTCCTTACAGATATACACTAAAACATTTGATTACTTACACTTAATGTTCAGAAACAGCAGTCCTGAGATGCTTCTCATTTGATTCATATTTCTGAGTAAATAAATTGTATTAAGATGGTGCTAAGTCTTTTTGAAATATGTCTAGAGATACAAAAATTCTTACAGAATTTCCTGAAGTAATCGAGATGTCTTGACAAATGTGCTCAACACTGTGAAGTGAAATTTTACCAACAGTGGCAGCAGAGCAGTTACGAAGTAATAAAAATAATGTAAATTTGCATACTGTTAATCCATCTGGAAGCATAAGCATCTCAGTAAGTAGCTTCCCACACGCTTTCAACTATTTCACGCACTATTCTGACATGCTTTCAACTTTCCTATAGCACTCCTATAAAACTTCAGAATATTAATCTACCATTAATAGGTGAAAAATAATGATAATTTATTTTATTATTTGGTTTCATAATTACTTTTTGCTTGATATAAATTGCCCTTATTGTTACAGTAATGCGATGTGTTGTCTCTGCTTTATTGGAACTCCAGAGAATCTTTCTAGATTATGGTATAATTTGTTTTCAACATTCAGAGTAGTCAAGCATTATCTCTTTGATTTCAGCCAGCTTCTTAACGAATAAGGATTTTTCTTCTAATATTTTCTATACATTTGTACCAGCATCAGAATTAAAAAAATACAAGAAACGGAAGCTATATACAGGAATCTTCTTTTTCTGTAAAGTTTGTATATATGCAAATACTACTCAATAAATTTAAATGAAGATAATTTATCTTATACATACAAATGTTCCAAATAACAATCAGCTTAAAAACTACCAGTAAACCGGGCCTTCTGTGATATGCCTGTAATATATACAAGTCACAGAGCCAATCCTGGTACATCAGAAAGATACACTGGAAAGCCAACATATTTTAACTTGTTTAGATGCTTAAATATAAATGGGATACGTAGATTTGAAATAAGTATTACCCTTAGTGTATCTTACGGATTATATTTTCTTAGTTTACTATATAGTCATTTGCAACTTCAACCAGTTTGAAAAGTAGCTCTTGCTGAAATACAAGAGATGGAGGACCTTGCTGTTTCGCATTACTAGCATTACAAAATACAAGTGTTCAGTAAATTAATGCTACAGATAAAAATGCATGGTTACTTAACAAACTAAATGAAAGAATAGTAAAGGCAATCAGGAAATGTTTGCAAATCTCAGAGAAAAATGTAATTTCCAATCTATTAAAATTCTTCATGGCATTGCTAAAGGAAAAAAAATTAGAGCAAGATATCTATTAATACGTTATTTGGAATTAGGAAGGTCATTCAGAAGAAAAGGTAATGTCTAAGTAAAAGTATCTCTCAAAAATACAGTACTAACTTCAGACTGAAGCTAGGTGTTTTGCAAGTGTTGCCTGCTGAGTATTTGAGGATATTTTTTGTTTGCTTACCTGCTGCTTTGAAGCAATCGCAGATTATAAGTCTTCTCCCTACTGAGTAAATGAGACCTGCTTTTTGATATTTTCCATGTTCTCCACCACTTGAAGAAGGGGTCTGGTTGTCAAAGAAACAGTCTGAAAATTAACAGTGCGTTTTCAAGATTAATGAAGCACATTAGCTTGAAAATATTAAAACCAAATTGATTTTAAACAAAATGAAAATGCAAAACACAGTTATTTAATTTACCTTTCTTGTGTGTGCTTTTATTTACTGAGCACTACTATCTACACAGTGTCTACCATGAATTTCCACATCCTTCCTTTTTATAGAATTTTTTCCTGATCCTAATTTAATTTTTATAAGCCTCTTACTGTTGCTGTATTTCCCATATCCCTTTACTATTTATCAAGAATTTGTATGATTCCCAATTGTAAATTTAGCATTGTTTTCCTTAAAAAAAGAGAACAGAGATTGTTACATATTTATACAAAGCACTAGAAACTAAATCCACTTATATCTAAATCCATAGATGGATTAATGAGTCAGTGCCTTAAAGACATGAACTACTGCAACTTTTTAAAAAAAAAAAAAAAATCACAGCAATGCACTATTCTGACATACAGTCGCAAAAGCCAGTTAAAGAGTTTGAACGATTACATCCTGAAACAAAATAGTCAAGACCTGTCATGTTTTCAGTGTAAGCTGAACATACCATTCCTGTTAGGTGTTACATGACAATATATGGCTGGTAGTGGAAAACTCTCTTTCTTTAAACCACATAAATAATTAATATAGAGCCCCACACCCAAACTGTATGTTAATTAATTTAAACGAATGCTTTAGATAGGTAATTCATTAGAGTAAAAAATTTAGATAGACATTGCAGTCTTAAGAGTTGGAAAAGACAACAGATATTGAGAATACTCCTATGAAAACTAACCTGGATTATATGAACAGAGAAACTATTGAGTGGAAAGAAACCAAACCATGAAAATCATTTACATATTAAAGACATGGTATCTTAAATAGAATTGGAAAAATCTTGGTAGATCATCAAGTGTTAAACACTGCATAATTTCTGTAATGCTGAATCAGTGGAGCATTTTCAGTTTATGTAGGTTTTTGTGCTCAAAATCCTCTATGCTGACATAAAAGAGCATAACACACCCAAAGCTGGTCGTTGGTCTCCTTTCTGTTCTTATTTCTACCACTGACTGGTGGTGTGACATTGTCAAGTCACTCAAGATTTCTTTGCTGTGGTTTGTATATGACTAAATGGGGAACAATCACTTTTATGTGCCTCATCTGGGTATTTGAGATTTGATTCATGTGCTTTGAGGACAACAGATGAAAGTCACTGTAGAAATATGTATCATATTATTTTTACTACATATAAACATTAAATGAAAATTAAAATTAGAATCCTCATACCATATAGCTGCATACCCATAATTTCTTCTAGGAAAGTTACACTTAAAAGTCACAAGGGACAGAAAAGGAATATCAGATAGATACATAACAATAGAAATTGATGTTCTAAGTATGTTTAAACTGTGGAAGTGTGGAAATTGTATGTTTAAGTCACTCCATAGCCTCAGCTGAGACTGGAGTTGACCATGACACAATGCGGGCTGCACTGTCAGGTACCAGTGCTGTGGCTGTTCAGGCAGTCCTCTGCTATTTTAGAAGCTGGATGAGTAACATTTCAGCTCTTCCCAGTGAGCTCCAGACTCTTCAGCTTGGTTGTTCTTGACTGGGTGTTTGTTACATTTTGACAGGGGTGTTGCCAAGGCATGGAGCCAGGCTTACTTTGGAGAAGGGTCAGGTCCCGTGCTGCTGGATGAAGTGCAGTGTACAGGAAATGAACTATCGATAGAACAGTGTGCAAAAAGCTCCTGGCGAGAACACAACTGCGGCCACAAAGAAGATGCTGGCGTTTCCTGCACACCTCTCACAGGTACTTCAATTACCAGTAATCACACAGGAAAACAGTGACAAATGCAGAGTTCAGAGCTCTGGAAAGAGAATTTTTAGAGCTTGCAGATGCACAAAACTCCACAGCTATAAAGTGTTCTGGCAGATACGGTGTGTATATATATATAGTGAAATCATGTAATTAGAGCCCACTCCTGTGCACTTGGCATGTAGTAAGAGCTTTGGGGATCAATATCTTGTGCTATTTCTCTTGCACTTAAGCAACTACATTATGCAACACTTCACAGCTGACTGGGTGCATTATGGCATTTCTTTCATCTTCTCATTAAATGACGCCTAGTGATCAGCACTAGATTCACTAGTCTAATATTCCGATCAGATGCAGTAAATGCAATGTTATTAATTTTGTTTTTAGAACAATAATGGGACCGAAGAAAAACTGATTCTTGTTTTTGTTTTTCCTTACTTGTTAATGACACAGATGGTGCATTAAGACTAACAAGTGGGAAAGGCAGTCATGAGGGTCGCCTGGAGGTCTATTATACTGGGCAGTGGGGCACAATCTGCGATGATGGGTGGACAGAGCTGAATACACAGGTGGTTTGCCGGCAGCTGGGATTTAAGTAAGATTACTTGATATTAGATATTTGACTCTTTGACTTGACAATGATGACAAACATTTACATGAACCCTACATTATTCAAGTGTCTGTTTTTTTTTAATATTAGCTGGGTGCTTCACAGAAACTACTGAGTTAAAATCCATTAAAGCCTGCTTCCCTCAGCCTCAAAGAGGTATTTATGGCCTCAGTTTATGTAGAAGAAAAAGCTTCAGCTGAGGCTGTGATTTGGCAGCCTTTATTCATTGAGTTCTCTCCAATCATCTTTTTGACTAACTGAGATTAATGCATATGCTACAGAGAAAAACTGATTTGTGTATTCTATTTTGCCTATAGAAGTTTGATTCTTCAACATCTTTGCTTGTCGAACAGTCATTAAAAATCACAGACATTTTCAAGGTACAAGTCCTTCTGGATCTAGCTTAGAAAAACCCACAGTCTGGCCCTGGAACACTATTACATACTGAAAAACATATTTCAGAAAAAAACCCATTAGTTTTTTGTGCACTCTTCACTACTCTTCCTACTGCGTGTGGCTACAAAGATACGCTCTCACTAGGTCATTGTTGTTCTGCTTTCAGATTATAACAGCTCCCATTAAAAAAAAAAATTTCTAATTTTCCCCCAGACTGTGACATTTAAATGTATATATACTAAGAACATGCTTTAAGTCCCAAAGTCAGTGAGACAGCCATATGCTCGGTTGAAGGGAGGCCTTAAAGATATTACATACTCAAGTTTGTATTAATGTAACAGTAATTCCTTAAAAAAACATTACCAAAGAAGCAGAGTATAGTGCCCTCACTGATGTTAATGCTAACTGAACTTGCTCTCTCACAGTTAACACTGTTTACTGTTACTACTTGAGAAACCTTTATTTCTTCAGAAATAATAGTTTCCTTTCTAGTACTTAAGTATCACATGCCCTCTGATCACTTTGGACCAAAACGTTATGTATATGTATGTTATGCAGGTATGGAAAAAGCGTACCTGAGAGCTACTCAGAAGGAAGCTCTGGGCCCATCTGGTTGGATGATGTCAGCTGCTCAGGGAAGGAGGCAAACCTTCTGCAATGCTCAAGGAGAGAGTGGGGAAAGCATGACTGCAACCATCAGGAGGATGTCAGGCTCATTTGCCATCCAGATAACGACAGCCATAAACTCTTACTCGGTAAGGCATCTCTTTGGTAAAGTCAAAGTATGAGTATTGCGGTGGGCGCAGATCTGAGCAAAGTATAGTATACTTAAGGACACTCAAAAATCTTAGTATTTGGCAGATGTGTGCAAAGAAGAAACAGGAAGGGAAAAAAGCTCACTCTTCTCCTGAAGATCATATGAACTAATCAAGCTTTGTTTAAAGGAACATAAACACCCAGAAGATTATAAAGATCAACACAAATTTGAAAGGTACCAAAGTCAGATTCCAGAGATCCTGTTCTCTCAGTCTTCACCAGATTTCAGACTGATCTAGCACTTCTTAACAGCATATTGCATTTCACTCGGCACTCTCCAAATTCTAAGTAGCTGTCTCATGCTATCAAAAGTTGGAAATGTACCCAAGCAGTGAGGAATATAAATCAATAGTATAGCCTCCTATGGCCTTACATTCAGACAATCAAAAAAAAAAAAAAAAAAAGAGAGAGAGAGATACAGAGAAAAAGGGGGAGTTCAGAGATAGCAAGAAGGAAGGGTGAGAAGCATGAAATTATTTCTGTATTACCACTGCCTAGCATTTAAATTGTGCCTGGGTGAAAGGGGCCCACTTGCTGACCAGGACAGAATGGTACTACAAACACAGGTTAAAGAGCCAATTTCAATGTCAAAAAGCCTACAAACTTGTATGAAAAAAGAATAAAAAGACAGATAAGAAAAGTAATGAGAGAAAAATACTAATTACATAGTGGCACTGTAGAACAAAATACATCCAAATATTCTGAAATCCACATGTAGATAATTAAACAAGAATTCTGGCTATCAGATATGCACAGTTAAATTACATGGGAACAATAGGTTGCTCAGCAAATCTGAATAACAGGTTTTTTAAAATTTGCTACATACAAAGCTTGTGGCTTGTGAGTAGGTAACGTTTTACAAAATTCTTGCCGGTATTTTTTAGTTTACCCAAGTATATTATAGTCAATTTTGAAATTAGAATTATAACTAGTGGAGTTAGAGTCACAGCTTCTACTGAAATGTAATGGATTTGTATGCCTGGGTGCTTGAAGTTCTCTGGACAGTATACACTGAAGGTCCACCCTGCAAACTAAGACATTGATTTACTGCACGACATTACTACCTGTTGTAACAGCAATCAGCACTTCCACGTATACTTTTCTAGTCCCTCCCTCTTAATACTCTTTTTCTTTATAACCTTTTGACTTTTCACAATCCAATGACTGTTTCATGTTGCAGTACAGTTCCATTCTGTGTAGATGATGTCAAATCGTATTTGTTAGAAAGAATTTTCTCAGACCAAAAATAACAGGAACTCAAATAATGACTGCTGTCTTTACAGATGCAAACCATCTGTGCTGCTTTGCTCAAATTCCTATAAAATATAATCTGAGCTGAAAGAGGTCTGGTTCAGTTAAATGCATCCATATGGTAGCATTCTCACATCCCCCATTACCAGAAAGTTAGAGTAATTTTGTGCTCATAAATATATATATGTATGTATTTTCTAAAACGCAAGAAGATAAGATAACAATAAAATGGCTATGCTGTATCATTAATATCCCATGCTTCTAGCTGGGTAATAGAAGTATAATTTTCACCTAAATCATATTCTTCCAGAGTAACACATGATTTCAACAAGAAAACGAAGACAGTGTATCTGACATTTCCTACAAGATTTATGATTGGAAAGTGGACAAAGAATCTATTGTTACCATTTACTCCCCAGCCTTTTAAAAAGCCTATTTTCTCCCTGTAAGGATGAATTCAGTGGAAAAATATGAGGAATTAGTAGATGATATGACTTGAGGAAATACAGGCATTAAGGAACACAAAAAATGAGACAGAATATACTACAGTGACTACAACACCACTTGTTTGGTATGCAAGATCATGACAATGTAGCTAAACAGAAAGTTGGTTAAGTTAATTAATGTAACTGCCTGGACAGTAACTTCAGTATAAACAGTATGCTTTAAATGACATCTGAAGCAAAGAGACTTCAATTTTGTTTTCAAATCTTTTCTCTTTTAATTAATGACTTAGGCCAGATTTAACTAGCTCTGATCCGGAGTAAAGTTTGGTATACTGAAGTTATTCATACCCTGAATTAATCTGAATTAAATTTCAAATGCAAATGTCTCAAAATACTGCTTTATTTAAGAGCATAATTAAGTAATTTCTCATCCTTACAGGGTTAGAAGAAATAAAGAACAGGTTAGAAGGATGAAGAACAGTCTTTCCAATTATTCTAAAAAGAAACACTAATTAGTTATTAAGGATTATGAAGTATGACATACTAAAAGATTTAGCAGGTGATTCTCACTTAAACATTATAAAGAGGCCTCAGAGGAATTCATAACTGTTTTAAGGCTACTGGCATCGCTAGCATGCTATAAAGGAGTTTTAATGTAAGTGAGAATCAAATATGTACTTTGCCTAATGATTCAAAAGTAACTACAAGCCAAGCACTGAATGAACCATGATTAATTATGTCTGACTAATCCACATAAGTGAGATTTTGTATTATGAACATATCTGAATAAGCAATCCATTTAAATTGCTAGAAAAATAATCACACATTAGTCTAGAATAACACGCTGTGGAACATTATGCTATCACACAAAATACAGTATAGAACATATGCATAACGGTAAGAACTGAAGTTCAACACAATGTTGCACTTTTTTTGCTGAGACAGTGGTTAAAAAGAGTGGGAGCAACCAGTAGAATGGATTTATGAACTGAGATATAGTTAAATTCACCCATAAAATTTCTGCAAGGAAAACATGCCCAGCTTATACGGGTATCACATCAAAGATGTCTCTGGTGTTTTCTGCCACTAGTGGGAGAATTGTTCTGTGGTCAAATTCTGAGCTACATCACATATTTGTAGCAAATGAAGGAACCAGGTGAACTCTGAAGTTCAAAACACAGTAGTAGCTGATATTTGTCTTGTAATTTGTACAAACTGCTTCCTTTTGCCAGACAGGAAAAGTATGACTACTGTAACAGCTGGTACTACGCTTGTTCAACATTAACATCAGTTGACCCTATATACTGAACGTGATGAAAATGACTTAAAGTACTAGTTCTTGCTTCTGTTGACAGCAGTAATTTGTTCCCAGGTCCTCCCATCAGGCTGATGGATGGTGAGAATAAGAAGGAAGGACGTGTAGAGATTTTTATCAATGGCCAGTGGGGCACAATCTGTGATGATGGATGGTCTGATAAGGATGCAGCTGTAGTCTGTCGACAGCTTGGCTACAAGTAAGAAAACTCATTAAGCTGTTTTTCAAGTTATCGGTTTGCTGTATCTAAAAATGTTAAGTTTCTGCAACTGAGTATCATCAACATATGTCTGATAACATAATATATGCCTTTTAAAACTTGTCTGTTTGGCATTCTTTTAGAAAACTGTATTTATACTATTCATGTAAGATGTAGTAGGCTATGTCTTCAAAATAAGTATCCATCAACTAGCATAATTTGGAAAAGGAATTTTAATATTCAAAGGCATATCACAGTCTGACTGGCAACTGAAATGCAAGTTAATGCTAGTTACTACAGGTTTTTTTAGAAGTTAAATATTGCAAATTACTAAGCGAGTGACTAAATACTATATTTTATTTGTCACTTATGGTGCTGCATGTCTATATGATATGAATATATTACACCATTAAAAAATGTTTTTTACACTTAGTTGCAGTAATGTCACTGAGAAGAGAATGTGATTTAGTGGATCTGCTCTGTGCTGTTTGCCACTTGAACTGTTCTTAATTTACTTCTTTCATCTACTGTTTTCAGACTTCTAAACATTTTTTAAAAGAGTGAAATTTTTAGTTTGGAAAAAATGAGGGAAACAACATCTAGAAGAGCACAGATGATTACATATTCTGCGAACTATGCAGATTCTCTGTTTTCTTTCGGATTTTGTGTGACAGTTCCATGTTTCACCATATTTAAGTGACGATTTTCATTCATGTAACGATTTTTATATTGAGTCCTTTTTAGTCAACGCAGAAGAACTTAAAGTACCTAAATCCTCGCGCTTTAGTGATTTGACGTAACAGTATACATAGAAAAACCTTGGGGAATTTACAATGCCTTTTTCATTACATTAGCAAACAAAATACAAATATTCAGAACCTAGACTTTCTTTACCACAGTTTAATGAAATTGTCTGGATTTTAGCTAAAATTTGAGAGGTGATTCTTGTATTGTTTTAAAGAATTCTTGATCCATTTTCATTGAAAGATATAATTTTGCATATTGTTAATATTTATCTTTTGTGAACCTTTATGATGACTTTGAAATCCCTATAGGTTCTAACATAACTGTTAAAATTTTTAATGAAATACAGAACAGGTCAGTGTACACTGTCACAAGGTGTGGATATGATTTCTGCAGATTCAGATGTAGGCACACCAGCTACTGACCTTCTAGTTTCATGGGTTTTTTTTCCTCCATTTACTGATGTGACTTGACTCAATGTAGCTTGGAGATTTGATAAACTGTTATACAAAGGATTATGGCTTCAGCCTGCATGACAGTAATTTGAATAAGCTTAATTTAATATAGGAATAGACCTGACAGGCCAAAACCACCCTCTAATTAAAGGCACAGCAATGTGTGTCACTTTTGAACTAAGTCACTTAATCAGGCTTACATCACTCATAGGTATCCAGAAAAAATTGCTTAAGAGCAGTAAAGATAAAACAACTACAGGGCAGTCATATAAATAGCAGAACTAATATGAGCTGAAAAATCCAGAACACTAGTGAAATACAACAGAAAACTAGTCAAATGTATTCTCCGATTGTATCTGTAAAGAAATCTGAGCTTAAGAAATACAAATCAAGTTACCTGTTTGCTCTATCTAACAATGTAAAGTCTGTACAACCACGTATCACCAAACGATGTCTGAACACATAATGTATGCCTTTTAAAAATTTTCTGGTATTCGTTTAGTAAAGCATATTTATAAGTAGTAGCAGACTACGGCTTCAAAAACTACAAAACTTGACTTGTATTATCTCCCACTGAATCATTCATTTAGTCTGCTTCATCCTCAGCCTCTCTAGCCTTTTATGTTTGTGTGACAGTTGGCTTGATTCTCAATTTGTGTCATGTCAGAATGCGGGGTTAAGATTATGGGATACAACAGAGTACATGTTTCCTGAAGGACCAGGGATAGCCACATTTTAGAAATCTAAAATTAGGTTCCAAATTGGGAGAGCTTGTTGGAAATGCTGGATCTTGGTGACCCTATGTCTAGACAGTTGCATTCCACAAACCTGACTATACCATTAGCTGCCCTGATGAGCTGTAATTGCTTCTGGGCCTAGGAGTTCATGCACAGAGCTTTTTGCTGAAGTTCAAGTTATATTCAGTGGTGACTTGACTGTTCCAAAGCATGGCTGGGGCTTCTGGGTTTGTGCACCTGAGCTTGAGGGATGACGAATGTTGTTTCTTTAAAAATAAACATGTTATGACCTTTTCCCGGGAGGAATTCAAAAAGCACCCAATACTGAAGCTGACATCAGTTTTCATTAAGACTGATCACAGAACTAAACAGTATCATTCAACTCCCTTTACAATGCCGTGTTTAATTCTCAAGTCTTTCCTACTGGGGAGTTACATTCCTTGGGGAAAAAATTTCACACTTTTAATATAACAAATAGGAGAAAAGACTACCTTAAAAAGGAAAACTTGTGTAAGCAAAGGGTAAACACTGAGAAAATGGACTGAGTTTTTCCTGCACATATTATTCGTACTGTCAATGCTTATCTGTACATTTATTTTATGAAATCCTGCTTTGGAACATTCTCAGCCATTTACTAGGGTTCATTCTGAGACTGAAATAAGAAAATCCCCGAGTTGGCAAAATCACTAGGTTCAAAGCAATCCTAGTTTTAAAGATGTCACATTAAGCCAGTTTGTCAAATTCACAGTTAATGTTAGAAAAATGTAATATAAAGAACATTAGAAAACAGCCCTATTAATTGGCTAAAACCAGTCATGAAAACATCATTAATAGCACCCTAATCAAAGTATATATGTAGCAGGATAAACACTAAGAGAAAAACACACACCTTTTCTGAAGTACTATGTGATTGGGTTTAGCATACAAAAGTATTTTGGTAGAATGAGTAAAGAGCGAAAGATGGTTTTAGAAGCTTTTGCATTTTAGTGAATTAAGTGGCCCAGTAAAATTGGACCCCTTTCATTTAGGACAGGCTTATAAGAATGCACGTGCACATACCCACCGCCCAAATGAACAAATTTTTGGAGCATTAATGGCATATATTATCTATTACAGGAAAAAAAAAGTTCTAGGGTAGTTGGCCACCTATAATAATCAGCTGAATTTTCTGATTAACAGTATTACGAATAACGATAATACTGCATCTGAAGAGCTCAGCATGTTATTGTGTATGGCCCTGTGTCTGAGGAAAGCTAGGCAATACGGCCTGAAGCCACCCTTCTCTCTAGGGACAGATCTGAGCAAGCAAAAAGGTTATTTCTCTGATGGTCACCTGTGCATAAATAGCTGGCTTGGAAAGCAATTAAGGGACACATACACATTTGTTAAGGGTGGACTAAAACCAGCGGTAAAACCAGATTCCAGCATGTAGCAAACACATACGACTTAACACTTCTACATTTAGAGATCTACCTATTATATGAAATAATCTTCTCTACTAAGCTGCACTCCTTGTTCTAGAACATAATGATTTTTACATTTGTTTCATGGTAGATGTTCTGTTTAAACAGTGGGTTGTTTTTCTTTTTTTGTTGAGTGGGTGTGGACACACCTTTCATAGCAATTATCAGCACAGAGATTACGGAATGCACAGGAAGAGATAGATAGCTTTCATATAAAGGTATGAAGAGTCTCTGCAGTCCAAGTCCCATGATTCAGTTCATGTCAACTGCAATCCATAAGTTCCTCTAAGTTCCCTCCTTCATCTTTGTCTCCACATCTCTTTCACCTAAAATATTTACATATGCGACCTCACAGATGTCAGAGTATCCTTTGAGATTTATCTGTTAAGCCAATGGAGGCAATGCTCTTATTAAGTAGCCAGTAAGAATCTGCAGAGACAATTGTATACTAAACTGCAATAAATACCTCTCTGGGAAAGGCTAGGAATACTGTGGTGATTCACAACAAAGCAGTTTTCAATATCCTGAGGAACTTCAGAGCAATGCCCTTAAGCAGAAACTTTGTTTTTTGACATAAGAAAACAAGGCAAGAACTTGCAAGGAGTGCCTGTACTGTCTCACTATTTTGTAATACCATACATTCGCACATCAGCTGCCCACAAGTATTGAAGAGTTAGACTTTTTGTTTTTGTAGTTATCTGTAATCAGAGCATTGTTCACAACAGAAAAATACTTGAGGCAAGAAGAGGCATATTGCTTGTGACTGACAAGTTACATCACAGTAAACTCATTAGGCAAGGATTGTTCTATACTGGTTCCAAAGTCAGTTAAGGCTTTGGATTATCTGGTAAATACACACTAACCATGGAAATTCAAAATGTGTAAGGACAGTTGACCTTGTGGTATCATCTTGTCAGATGTTTTGCATACTTCTCCTTCCTGGCTTTTTACAATTCACACATTCTAACCAACATTCCCTACTTAGAAAAACTGCCCACCTACCCTTCAATACCCTTCAAAAATCCGAACAGGCAAGGCTTTCTGTGTGCAAGTTTGAAAAAGGACGAAGCTTGTATGTACTACTTTCATGTTTCAGTTATATGGATATGGGCAATTGATGGCTGGATTCTTTGAGTTTGATCCAGCCACACTTCTAGTATGACAAAGCTTTGAAGATGGTATGACAAATCAAAATTCCTCCCCACAGAGAACCCCTAGCTGATGAAGGGACATAAAACTCTTTATGCCATTCTCACCTATCTTCCCCAACACTGCACTTATTAAAACAGATATAAAAAGAGATGTAAAGGGAGAGAAATACTTTCTTGCCCAGTACATTTTTGTTGTTAAAATCTCTTTCTCTACTCCATCATTTCACTGTACATGCAGTTACCCTTTTGTATACATAGAAGTACTGTCCTTTACAATATGCAGTTGTCACATACCCTGTAAAATGGAAAATTATGATACAGTGCAACAGTTTAGTTACCTAGTATTCAGTATATTCTTATCACAATAAAGTAACAGTAAATTGCTCTTAACTGATACGTAAACTTGTAGTTCAGACACACCTAGAGGTGGCTGCCCCACTTCTGTGTATAGCCAGTTGGGTGGTCTCTACTCCTAATTCTTTGACTCTTAAACTGTATAGAATAAAACATCTATTTTTCTATTAAGAAGCACTATCCTAAGTAATTAAAAATAAAAAAATCTATCACAAAGTTACTAAATGAGACACTTACGTGCACAAGTCACATTGGTTTTTTTTAATTGCGTTTGTTCACCTACTCCCTCATTTGGGAGAAAAGTTCATCATTCCAAAGAGGTCATTCACACAACTGACACTGAGATCATTGCTGAAGATGTATGGCATGATGTACAAGCTATAAGGGTCAGGACTTCAAACCCTAATAAAATGTCCTAAGTCCAACATTTAAATACTTAGGTTTGACACTTATCCTTACACAACAATAGGATTATCACACCGCCCTTTGTAAAGTGCCTTGAGGCCTATGTATGAAAATGCTACAGAAGCACCAAGTACAGGGTTCCTCCCAGGAAAAGGTGGGTGCTGAGACTGAACTGGGTTCAGTCTTTCTCCAATTATCTTACAGTTTTAGAACTGTGGGGTGCACTTCAAAAATGGCATGGTAACAAAGTATGTTAATACTTATTAACTACTAACAGATCTGTAAATCATATCTCCTACCGCACTGCAAATATACTGTATTTAACTGGCCCACCTTTCTGAGGGAACCAGACCAGAAAAAATTATTTTTAGCATTCACAGATGCTGATTTTATATGAGGATTAAAGAGATTATGGAAAAGCAGCTTTCACATGTTTTGCATTATAGGTATTTGTAATGCCATTACAGTGTAAAACATTTTGCATAGTGCCTTCTAACTAGATACATAAAAGTGTTTTTTAAACATTAATGAACTGTAGCAATGTTGTTACACTTGTGTTTTTTTCTCCATACCAGAGTAACAGAGGCAATGAGAAGAAAAGTTGACATCAAGTAGATGACTGACAGGCCTTGGAATAAAACCTCAATATCTTATTCACTGAAATACTGCAGAGCCAGTAGTGAAAAATGTAGAATAATGCCTCAAAATGTTTAATGAAAAAAATATGCTCCGTTTCCAGAGGTCCAGCTAGAGCAAGAACAATGGCATATTTTGGGGAGGGGAAAGGCCCAATCCACGTGGATAATGTGAAATGTACAGGAAATGAGAGATCCCTGGCAGACTGCATTAAGCAGGACATTGGGACGCACAACTGCCGTCACAGCGAGGACGCAGGGGTGATCTGTGACCACCCAAGCAAGAAGGCCCCCGGGAACAGCAATAAAGGTAAAGCCCCATTGTAAGTGGCAGACCAACAGGCTGGGATGAGGAACTGTCAGGGTAGGAAGAGATGGATGTAAACAATCCCACCTCACAAAGGAAACAGTTCTATCAAAAGAATTATATGAACAAAAGTGGTGGGAAATCCTCTCTGCTTACACTGTGCAATCTCATTGCTGTGCCAGCTGCACAAAGGAATCAAAGACTATTCAACGATAGAGGGTATTTCTCTACCATGGTTTACAGCAGCCATTTTTCTTAAGTTGTATGAGGGATGTGACAATGCAAAAACCTAGACAGCTACTTTCAACTTTTCAAGGTATAGGTTATCTTCAGCTGAGGACTGAGACCTGTGTGGCATGCCAAGCTCTGCTTCCACTTACATGAAGTAAGGAAGAATGCTATAAAAAAATCCCACTTAAGAAGCGGAGCACAAATGTGTAAATTGCTCTGTGACCGCAGTCAAAAGATCTCAGCTAAAAAGAACTCCTAAGTCTGAGAGAATTCAGTGCATTTTCCCTGAGCAAAATTTGGTTGTTAAAGACTACCATGAAACACAGAATAACTTCAGCCTTGGTGTTTGGGGATTTTTTTAGTTAGCTCTCATTGATTGGCTACTTTTCATTTGATTTTAATGCTGCCTACATGTCCCTTTCTGGTTTAGATTCTCTTGCTTCTGTTTGTGGATTGAGGTTGTTACATCGTCGACAAAAGCGAATAATTGGTGGGAAAAATTCTTTACGGTAAATATTTGCTAAAGACAAATAATTTTGAATATAAAACTTCTAAGACATGTATTTGCCATAAGCAGTTTCCCTAATTTATAGTTTTATTGCAGGTTTGTTGTTTGTTTTTCTTTTAGCTTGTCATGAGGTAGAAGCAGAAATATATTCAAAGTAAATTTGGTAGGAAATTAAAAAATATTCATTGATATTGCAGCATTCATTGAAAAGCTGTAAATGCTTATGGGTTTAGTCCTTGATTGGGTTAAATTTCTTACTTTCAAAATAGCCATTTTACTTTTTTTTTAAAGTATATCTTGATATCAGGATGTGAGCTATATGAAGAGAGCTATGATTATAGTACAAGGTTTTAAATGCTACCTACACTGAAAAAAAGGCCTGGGTATGATTGACTGCCTAAGAGCTGATTTTTGTTCACAAAATACACTCCTCTGATGACGACACAGCTATAAACCCAGGTTTTTTGTTAACACTTTGTTCTTAGCTTTTAATGACATGTTTACATTTAGTTAATATAATCAGATTAATGAAATACTACTGCTACTACTACTAAATGCTATGATATGAAGTATAGGCTTTAATTTTCTTAACAGTTGTGAGTAACTACAAAAAATACATATTCATAGAATCTTACAAAAGGGATTGCAAAAAATACACTTACAGTATCATTACATGTCATTGCGCAACCTATTTCAAAGTACATGCACATCATCAGTCAATCCATTTTAAAAAAAGACACTGCTTAAGTGGAGAAGCTTCAAAGAACAGTAACAAGAGGGAGCCCAGAAAAGCATTTAAATGCAGTCAGACAGAGCAAAGTAGTATTACTTGGCTTAGTAAAGAGACAAATGAGGGTAATAAATAATGCATTGTACAGAAAAAGACGACTGAGAATTACTGTCTCAGAACATGTGTACAAAGGACACTGGATGAAATGAAACAGTAACAAATAACAGATTGCACAATTAAGTCAGAGCAAGAAACTATCTCATAATAAATAAGCACAGGGGTATTAGATGAAGCAAAAAGGTGAGAGAAATCCAATAGTGCGCTCAGAAGTGCTTCAAAAATCAAGAAAAGGAACATATGAACAATATCAGAAAAGGACACATTGTCACAAGAAGTCATGAAGACAAAGAACTTGACAAAGTTCAAAAAGGAACTGGATACTTACATTCATACCAGGAAATCTAAAGCTGTCCCAATTACGCCATTTTGGGAAGACATATTAAATCCCATCTTCCAAGACTAAAAAATGTCTACATTGTTTTATGCTTTATGGGAAGTAAATTCCTCTACCTTACTTTAAAGCATTTGGCACTGGCAACTCTGAGAATCCTATCTCACTGGACTAGATGATCCTGGGCAGCTCTTGTACTCCAGCGTATCTATTCAAGTTGACAGTAGTAAGAAAACACCTAAGCCTACCTGTTGCTTATTCTTGGATGTTGCTGTGGCTTACAGGTGCATTTCTCTCCCTCTCCCTTCTCTCTGATTCTGTATTTTGCTAATCTATTAAACTGGCAAAAAATAACCCATCCTGTCTTCATAGGCCTGCAAATATGTATCCCAGATCTACTATACAAAACAGACAATCACAGGCTGAAAAAAACATGCTAATCTATTACTTGTGCTTTCTACAGTTGCTTTAGACCTTTTGGTTTGCCAGCTTCCCTTTTCAAACAGCTCAGGACTGACAAAGATATTAACCGAAAAGATGAAAGGAAAGGATGCTGGGTTAAGCTTTTCACGAAATTCCCTTCTTTCCCCTCTCCAGTTGACAGGAAGTTTCTGGTTTGTTGACTTGGATGGTGTTTGGTGAGGAACCCACAGCATGTATTTTTGGCACAATGAATGCAATCCGAGAAGGGAAAATTAAAATAACTGACAGTGGGAGGAAGCACTCAGAGTGCTGGATGCCCAAACAATCCGTAAAGTAATCCTGAGCATTGTTAAATGGAATTCTGAATGCTGCAGGAATATAAAGGTATTCTCAACTGCTACTCAATAAATAACACAGGCTGCAAGCTATGTCAGTCAAAGAAACTAACTGGATTTACATTCAAGGTAACTACAAGCTACCTTACTTTTCCATTGTTGTACCCCGAGCACAACGTCTTATGTCCTCTGTAGGGGCGGCTGGCCATGGCAGGTTGCACTCCGACTGAAATCTTCTCATGGTGATGGACGACTCTTGTGTGGTGCAACTCTCATCAGCAGCTGCTGGGTCCTCACTGCTGCACATTGCTTTAAAAGGTAGGTCTCTCTTCAATAGTGAAGTGCATTTTCAAACTGTTTTGTTGTCCTGGGTATAGGCAAAAACATTCCACTGAAAACCGTTCCAAAGAGTTGGCCTTTGGTTTAAAAAATACCCTACCAACAAACCTCCTTTCCCTCCAAAGAAAAACAAACTAAAAAACTAATACATTGAAATTATTCTGGGTGTCATCATTCACAAGACTTATATTAACAACTTCAGCATTTCCATGAAAAAGTATAGACCATACTTCTGACATTTTAACACAGCTTTCTGTTCCAACAAAACTGCAGCTTATGGCTCTCAGGTTATAGTGAAGACAACTGAGCAAACATTACACACAGGACAGTATTTCGAATTATTTTTGGTAATGATAAATATTGGCAGTGATAAGACATTTTATTGTAACACTGCAGTGAGTAGATGAACTAGTCCCCCCCAACCCATTTTAGGGTAAAGCACTATTATATAGTCTAATAGGTAAGTAAATCTGTACACTGGATGCTAGCAAGACCAAGCTGTTTTCCCTATTCTTCACAAATAGGCTAAAGCAACTACCTTACTCTGTTATCTCACAATCCATAAAGAATTGTCCTTTGCAGCCATCTAAACCAAGGTCCCATCCCCTTTAACAAAGAAGTAATTGTCTAAGTGGTTATACTGGTATAATTCTCTGACACTGGCACCTAAGAAAACTATACCAAATTCAGCTCCTTTCCACATGTTTAGCAACTGGTTTCCAACTCAAACGCCCTTGTAAATCACACTATCTACTTGGTCTAACTTCTGCAATTCTCAGTAGTGAGCTATTACCTAGCGTTTTAAAATGTCTTTTCCTATTTTTGCAGAAACAGATATTCTGTTACTATATTAACTATTCTAAGTTACTATAGTATAAAAGCATCAACTTGCACAATAAGGAAGCAGGTCTGGTACTTTAAGCTTTCAACAGCAATTATTTGATTGGAACCCTTACAAAAGGTTGCAGTACAGGCTGAAATAAAAGCATAGAACAGCAGCAGCATTGCTGTACTGAGGACATTTGCTAGAATTTACTGAAGTGGGCTGCAAATGTTTTAACTTTGACCTTTGAGCTTCTCCCTTTGCACACTGATAACTAAAAAGAAGAGTCAGGTAGACTTCTACTCAAATGGAGAGTGTTACCTTTGCTTAACACCAGATGCACATTTTTCAATTTCATGTTTCATGAAAATCATGAAGGACTTTTCTTGGTAATATTTCAAGCTGAAATGGTCAAACTCAATAAAATTTCTGCCTATTTCTACTGATGTCCCTGTTGTTTCTGTGGAACTATGAAAGCACTTCAGTTGCTACCATCAAAATTTATAGAAAATGGCTTCCTATTCCCCTGCAATTACTAAGGATGCAACTTAAGCTCTTGAGAAAGCCTTTGATTAAAGGTTTGAAAACAAGACAATCTTTCCTGTTATTTTACCTCAAAGATCTCTCTTCAAGAAAACAAAAAGGGGAGGTCACAGGAAGCCAATTATGTTTTCTGTGTGCAAATCAAGATCTTAGTTACCCAACTCTTCACCTTACTAGAATGCTTTCATAAAGTTTGGTGAAACAAGTTTGTATTTGCTGTGCTTCTTACAGAAAGCAATTCCCACAGAATACATTATGTGTGCTTCCCAATGGCTTGCTGACGTAGCTGGGGCTCATTACTGAATGTGCTGCCCAAGCATGCCCATTTTGGATACTCTGCTGAACACCCACATGATGGGGCAGCAGCATGGCTGGAGCCATGTACACTGTGATACTTTGAGATGGGTGCAGCAACTCAAGGGTCTGTTACAGGCTACCCTTAAACTGTTCCATGTGGTCTCGGGGATCCAAGTATTGCTTTGCCTCAGATATTGCATTTAAAACTGCCACCTAGATCCAAGCGTGCAGCCCCAACAGCCTGTAGATGCACTACTGTTTACTGTAAAAAGAGAGGAGGCACCTTTAGCTCTAAGTTGACATTGGACAGACTGGGACGAACTTCCTAATGATCTCAGAATGATTTTAAGGGGCTAGGTTTCCAAGAGCTATCTATAGATCAAGCGCCTTCTTCACATATTTTCCACAGACAGAGAAAGGCCAGTATACCGTTTCTCATATCCTGGAAATTGGAACACTGCTTAAGTAACAAAAGTGGGCACATCTGTACTATAGATAAAAATTAAATACAATTTTATGCATGATGATTACAATTGTTCACCAGTAGTATAGCAGCATTCCTGGTTTCTGTAATTTCATAGACACATAATTTAAGATCAAAAATTGTTTGAAGCCACCCATCTTATTATCAAGTTTTGTCCTCAGTGGTTCTGACAGCTATAGGGAATTTGCAGGTCTATACATTAAAAAAAATATTAACTTTGGATAATTAGAAATAGGAAGCATAGAAAAACCAGGAAATTATAATTACCATGATGTAATGTTAGGAAATACTGTGTTACTTGAACATTGTACTATTCTATTAATATAACTCTCATAGAAGTCCTGCTTTGGGCATTTCTGAATGCCCATGTGTACTTCAACATGGTCCTAGTAATTTTATTTTGAGAACTAGGGACCCTGAGGCACAGTGGAACCAAATACCTAGTAAGAAACCAGAAATCAAAGTAGACGCCAGAGTTAAAATTCCGTTTTCTCAAATTTAGCATGAATGGTGAAATGAATTCAGGTGTGCCTTCAATGTCAGTACATTACTTGACTGGCAGCAGGATGATATTGGCATGGTGGCTGATTATTAATCCATCCTCCCGCTGGCCGGGAAAGAAATCTTCTAGGAAGTGCCAAGATCAACATTGCCAGGCTGCACTAGAGCTTAAAGGCACGCCCAGCCATCCAACAGAGGGGTAATACCCTGAAAGCAACATCATTTTCCACGCATGAAGCACTCCCAGACTCCTCCTCTGCCTCCACTCTTCAAATGTGAGTCTGTGTGGTGGTTCTCTGCCATTTCATAGGTGACTTTTAGGTGCAGAAGACTGGACACCCCTGAGGTAGACTACTTCGCTTTTTTTATGTACCGAGGCTCTATTACAATTTTTCCATATTTGGCAAATACAAAGTACTACAGGGGAAGAAATATAATTGTATACAAATGAAAAAATCAGTTTAGGAAAGCCTTATGTGTGTGAATGTGCACAAAAATATGGTAAATCTGTGCAAAACCTGCTCATTAAGCTTCTCACTAGAAGCCTTGTAGCTATTAAAGTTTGATTTATTTGCATGAGAAGCAGCACTTCTCATTCTATTAAATGTTTAAAAACAGTACCTTTAATTAAGATAAGCTTTCCTGGATCGCCTTTCTTCATTATTCTACTATAAATGACCATCATCCATAACACAGAAAAACAGCAGGAACTTATTAAAGGGAACACTGTTCCTTTTGTCAAAATCAAGGATGTAACTGTAAATAGGAGCAGCAGGTTTTCTACTATACTATCTAATATATGGCTGACAGGAGAGCACTCGTTATCACTAGTCAAAAACATTTTTCCTTCATGCCCAGGCTTACGAATCAAAATAAACAATTAAAAATCAAGTTCCTTTGATTATTAAATCAGTTTAGGAAGGAAGTGTGTTCGTTTCTCATCTAAATTACAAACACTTAATCCATTTGTGGCTCTGTAGTACTCTGACTTCCATGAGGTTTTAAAAAAAAAAAATTAATAAACCACACACAACCCCTTCCTCCCTTCAAATTGCATTAAAAATAATGGATAGAGTATATGGTAAATCCTGTAACTTATGTTGTGAATAAGGCCTATAAACTAAAATGCAGAGGCACCCATTACATTTAAAAAAGAAAGATTTATACCATGTAAAATTACCTTTCTCTGCTTGAGAGCCAGATTTCCCTTGCATCACCAATAAGGCACATCTGCAAAGTACTGTGATTGTGTTTATTTATACAAAACCTATATGCCAATTACTCAATGGTTAGCTTAGATGGGCAAATATTTATTGAAGGCAAAAAAGCTTTCATAATCCAGAAACTATCAGCATACCACTAATACGTGGTTTGCTGCACAGAGCAAAAAGTGTATCTATAAATTATAAGAAGAGTATTTTCAGTGACCTTTTGAAAATGTTTTTGGCAGATTATGTCAGGCAAATATATATTTAATGCTAATGACCTTATACATTTGTATTCCAATGTAACACTCAGACACGTACCAAAAATTATTAAGGATATTGCTTTCAAATATTCAAGGACCAAATTTAGCAATACATTCTAGGGTACAGAATCCTATTTACGATAGCTTTTAAAGGCAATGAGATCAACAGTTACAAACAATTGCTGTAGCAAAAGCTATTAAACTATTTAATATTGCTTAACTGGCAATGGAAATGGCATAATTTTACTTAACTAACTACTTAACTACACTTGATGTATCATTCAGATTCTTAAGTAGAACGTCATCATGCAGTTAAGAAATTTGACCAGAAAAAATATATCCGAGATGTCAGTGACAAAAACAACTCTTCCATTTACTTTAGTGAGGGTTTTGCATCTAAGTTAGAGTAATTCAAATGAAAATATTACTGCAATAGTACCTAAAGTACTTTCAGTACCAGCTTCCTTTTCTAATTTACTCTGAGGAAAATACATCTTACAAAGTTGGCTAATGCATCAGCCAAGATTGTTTGTAATCTTGGCCTGGGCAAGACACTAGAGAAGTACTTAGTTGGCTGTACAGCCCATCACAGTGTTATTACACTCTTTACAGTCTGAGCATTACATCTGTTCTGTAAATAGATTTTGTAAAAGGGAAACACCGCTTGATACTGCACACCCTGACCATTCAGCTACCTGCCTCTACAATAACCTTGTTCATTTTGAAGATGGGCACAGGATTTGTGCTGTCAGTGTGTAAACATTCTATAGTTGGGTGTTTTATTCCTCTGTTTCACAAGTTTCACAGAGGACCAAGGCATTGGTTAGCTTACATAATAAAATGAGCTACCAGGGTCTGTCAGTTTGGTTTTCATAGTATATTCAAACTGCATCATATACCATAGTAGCATACTTTCTGTCAAACAATCAACATTATGGGTACTTCCATGAAAAAGATGGCCAAAGTGATCAATACACTTGCCCTTGATGTGGTAGTTTCTCTTGCTGCAACCAGTTCAGAAACGTTTAAGGTGTAGTTCTAGGAAATACATTACCTATGAGGTTACACAGCCTCCAAGTGAAGAGAAAAAAGACTATTTAATGTATAAAAATACTGAACTACAGATGCAACTTTCTGCAGAACACAAGATTAAACTCAGGAATCAGATTAATTTCCCTACCAATATTTTCCATAAGTAGAGGAATAAAAAGTACTTTCCCCCCTAATTTGTATATTTATATAAAAATGTGTTTCTAACGTTGAATGCAATGGTTTTGCCAAAGCATTACTGGAAATTTTTGCACCTGGGCCAGGAAAATTTGCTTTCAAGTCTATCTGTATGTAAACATGCTAAATTAAACTCTGAATTATAGTTTCTAAAAATGCCCAGAAGCAATAGCGAGCAAATATATAAAACCTATTCAGTACAAGCTGGTACTGAAATGTACCAAGCATTTTATTGTGAAGATGCACAACTTATGAAAAAGTCACTTTCACAGAAATAATACTAGAAGAAAGCTGTGCTAAGTAATGCCTGTACCATGCAGTATTTTAACATACTGAAGAGACGTGTAGCCTTACTCCTTGCTGTATTAAGGAAAGCCCGATAGACGGCAGAAGAAAAAACAAAAAAGAAACTCACCCAAGGTCACAGATCAGATCACAGCACTGTAAACACCCCCCTGCTTTCCAGCCAGTGCCAGATTATACTTCTGTTCGCTCCCACATCATAGCTCAGAGTAACAATAATAGTAGTTTAGACTGATATCTAGTAGACTAAGTGTCTCACCAAAGTATGGTAAGATTAGCCTTTTCTGATGCAGGATGTGTAGCAACAGTGACCCAGGAGGGGATTCATCAGTGTCAGAGCAGAAATTCTCAGTAGGCAGCAGAAGGCAAAGATTCGAAAATCTATAGGGATGCAGGATTTAGGCTGTCCCTGATGTCATACTTCAGATGGCCAAATACAGATGGTTGTATCTAACTCCAGCAACTAGTTAACACCTGACAGGCTTTCTTACTCTGAAGAATCTCCTTAAAGGCAACAAAAACAACAGCAATATATCAGCCAACCCTACTTCATGGAATTTTGCCATTTATTTTATCAGGAAAAGAATCAACTGTGAAGCCTTACTGAGCTTTTAAAACTGGCAAAAACCACAGAAGATTACCTAGAAAAGAGAACGTGAGATCTAGCACAACAGAGAGAGAGAGATTCAAGGATTTGTTTTTTTAAAAAGCTTATAAAGAAATACCTCTATTCTAGAAACTCCAAGGGACTGGAGTCAGAACGCCTGGAGAAACAAGATTCATGCTTCTGCCTTTTGTTAAGATGTTTTTGTCAAGTTATCTAAGCCTCTAGAATTTCTCAATCAACCTACAAAGCAAGCTTGAACACTGTTCTAATTTCAGTACTTATTTGGAGCATCACAATGATGTTAGTACTCAGGTTTTCATTACAATTCCTGGCAGTTTGTGTTACCCTTACTAAATACATTTATAATGTACACCTCGCTTGCACCTTTGAAATAAGTGCCAGTCATGGCAGATGGCCGTAAGAAACCTTGCCTGTGGTAATATACAAAAAAGAACATAGGCCAACCTGAAACTTCAGGAGAAGCCTTTTTTTTATATTCTTTAGGATACACTTGAATGTCAATCTAAACATATGAGAAAGCGTTTTTGCTCTTTTAAAAAAACTTTTGGTACCATTATTTATAGGAGCAATAAAGACCCTGATCAAATCTGTTTGCATGCTCAGGATCTGACTTTATATGAGCCAGCCCTATTTGTTTTCACCTCAATCTTAGGCATGGCAACAACACTCGGAACTATGCTGTGCGAGTTGGAGACTATCATACACTGGTACCAGAAGAGTATGAGGAAGAAATTGGAGTCCGACAGATTGTGATGCATAAAGAGTACAGGCCTGACAGCAGCGACTATGACATTGCATTGGTGAGGCTACAGGGGCCAGAGGAACAGTGTGCCAGATTCAGTACCCACGTCTTACCTGCTTGTTTGCCGTTAAGGAGAGAGAGACCACAGAAAACTGCTCCCAACTGTTATATCACTGGATGGGGTGACACAGGTAAAAATGATTTCCAGCCTCAGGTAACAAGATTGGTGGCTGCTTACAAAAAAAAAAAAAAATCAAATACTTAAGAAAATGCTCAAAATGGAAGAGTTTTGCTCTTTTCATGTAGCAGAATATTTTCTTTCCTGATGCTTAACGAGGAACGACAGCACTTTGTTTACTGAATTTAGTTTGTGTTTGAAAAGTGGTGATTAACCGCATCACCCTAAATCACAGAACCAGTCAGTAAAATGGCCTCATTAAGATTGACAAGCATGAATGAAAAGCTTATTTGTTGCCAGACACAACCTGTGCAGCAGCTTATCACCTCCTGCCTCAGAACATAACCAACAGCTCAAATATATTTAAGGTTTTTAAGGTAAGTACAATGAATATTTTAGAAAGGTTCTTTAAATTACACATTTCAATAGAAAAATGGATATAAAATATACACATAATAGAATTTAAAATAACATTTTTTAGCCTCTCTTGTTACCACTGACATTTTCAGTCAGCAGTTAGATTTAAATAAGAGAACATCCTGCCAAAATTTAGGAGAGCCACAATGCAATCTGCAATCCAGGCTTCTGGAACAAACTATCTAGTCACTTTTTAGGTCAGTACAAGATTCTTCCTCTTCAAAGGTCTTTGTCCTTTCAATGTTTTACAAATTATTAGGCATGTTTTGCTTTTATGTTTTCATGGTGTTGCATACAGTGCAAGAGAGCAACCACACTTGGGCTTTTGTTCCACCGACTCATTCAAACTGGCAAGGAAACAAGGCGGCAAGGCCAAATATCAATTCTTCCTCTTTACATGCATTAATCTGTGTGCACAGATGTCTGGGTCACTGTACTACAATAAAGGAGACAGACGTGCAGGGTGGGGTTTTTTGCTGAAAAGAATTGCTAATTCATTGCCTAGCTCTGTCTAGCTTTTTACACAATTCGCTGAAAGTTCTGCAATACTGTTAACTTAGGACATCTATTTAAGGAAACATTAACCACTGCAATAATTCACTTCATTATGGTAAGAAATTACATCATTGCAGTACTTCAGTTGAAATTTCACACTTACTACATGAATCATAATTACTTTAAAAGTATTAAGATTTTTACTTAAAAACATCCCCCAACACTGGCTTTAATTTCCCATGTTTCCAAATGAAAAAGAGGTGCAAAGCTAATGAAAAAAAGCCAAATCCTGACATTTTCTAAGCAGAGCACTGCTTATACAATGCAGGATTCACTACAGATCAAGAAAACCGAAGGACAGGTTCTGGTCACCCCTAAAAAATGAAGATTCCTTTTGGACAAAAGTGCCATTAGTACTTTGGTACATACAAGTTATCAGGATCATAAAAGATTCAAACGATACTGCTGATCTCTACCAGAATGCATCTGGGCTCAAAGCTTGCATGCACTTGCCAGGCATAAGAGTGATGGTTGGCTGGATGCTCTACTCTGAAACCGACAGAGGATGCAGCACCTGTGAGGCTGACCTAGACTAGATTTGAACTGGTAACCTAGAAATTATTTCTTTCTATAGTTTAAGTCTCTACTGCTCAAGACTCCCAAAAATAGCTTCCCCATTTAAGTATTAAGGCATATATTCTTGTAGAAGACACAAAGCATGTTTGGAACAAAACAAACTCCTGGCTTGGAAAGACCCAGTGAACACAAGGAGTAAAGCTACATCTTAAATTTTAATTTTTTTTTTTTTTAAAAAGGATCTATATTCTGTATTTACAATATCTATATAGATTTGAGTATTCTATTCAATGCACAGTAGATTTTTTCAGTATTTAGTCTTGTCTTCAGTCATTTTATTTAATGACAAAACAGTGTGAAGGACTGACAGCAAAAATTGGATTAAATCACATTTACATTCACAAGACCAATCACCCTAATCAGACAATAATTTGGGTACTCTTTTCAGGAAGGGCTTATTCAAGAACATTACAACAGGCTGCCATCCCCTTACTTCCCAAGAGGGTATGTGAAGAGCGTTACAAAAGAAGATTCACAACAAGAATGCTCTGTGCTGGTAACGTACAGGAACAGAAACGTGTTGATAGCTGTCAAGGAGACAGCGGTGGACCACTGATGTGTGAACGTCCAGGGGAAAGCTGGGTTGTGTATGGTGTGACCTCCTGGGGCTACGGCTGTGGAGTGAAAGATTCTCCAGGTGTCTACACAAAAGTATCATCTTTTGTACCCTGGATAAAAAGTGTGACCAAACTATGAATGTCCCTAATTAAAATGAAACTTTGTTAATAATGTTTGAGGCAGGACAACAGCACAGACAGTGCACAGCTAGGGCCCACAGTGGGTAGAAACATATTTTCCAGATTCATGTGTTTTTCTTTTTGTTAAATCCAAGCTGTATACACACACCTTTCCAGTTAGGGATAACTATCCAAACAAAATACCTCTGTGTTAAGGAAGTTTATATATTGCATGAACAAGTTACCATGTATCTAAGATAAGGGGGAAGAGTCATAGCCAGCTTACAGTAACATTGAAGCAGGACAGCTGGAGCGTTCACTGTGTGATTCACTGCCCACAGGAAGACTGTAGTAGCTCCAAGCTATTCTCTAGAATTAATTACAGATTTCAAAACTAATCTTTATTGTAGTTTACTTAATCATTTCTTGACCATTTTCCTATTATTCCTATGATCTTACATGCAGCCCTCCAATTTTGACTCATGTTTCATTAGCTAACGAGACCATTAGCAGGTTGATTCTTGGTAAGTAATTCTGAGTATGCATTAAAGGTTTGAAGGAATATAATTGTCAGTAATCAGATCCCCAGCTATTCTGATAGCTGTTCTCACAGCTTAGTGTGCATAAAGTACATTCCCAAGTAAAATGGGTAGTACACTGGAGGTTAGTTTCCCTACAAACATCCTGCACAGCTGCAAGAGCTAGATCAAAAACAAATGACCTCTTATTTTCTTTCCTCTAGACAAATATAATTTGTCTTCTTTCTGAAATTTGTAATTTTTGGCACATACAACATTTCAGAGAGAATTTACTTTTCCTCTTTACCACTAGCTGTCAGTACAGTATCAGGCTAACAAATATCCCAACCCTCTCATTGCTGGTTTTGGAAGGTTTTTACTCAAGTAACACTAAGAAACTGTCAATCCTAAAAGAGAAAGTTAAAGGTACAGACAATGCAAATACTGGAGATGTTGAGCCAAAACCTGTCTGAAAGGTCTATAAAGTCTTAAACTACTATTTTCTACAAGATAATGTGTAGACAACTCTCTCTTGCTTAGTTGCAGTACTGGTTCAGACTGATCTTACAGGAAAGGTGAGAGTTAGATAGTATTCAGTGACTTTTAAAGTACTAACACATCTTGATTCCATTTCATTCCTCTTACAAATACTGTCCCCCATGCTATGAAAACCTTAATGGTTTATTATAAAAAATGCACTGATAAAAAGTTACTCTCGACATACAAGGCAAATACAGATCGACTTACTATCCTTTTTGAAAGGGCCACCCCATTGAACTTTCACACAGAACACAGGAAGTAATCACCATCTTAGTGCAACACTAATGGGTATCAGTCCTGAAAATATCTGTGACTACAGTCAAAAGGGAGGTGGAGAGTTCAGTGCTACCTCTATGATCCCTGTGGAAGGCCATTCTGACTACCTGCAAGCATGGTCTACATACCACACTAACAAACATGCTTCTTCAAAAGGTGAAACGAAAGCTCTATGGGCCATGAAATATGCCAGTGTGACAAGCATGGCAGATGTGTGTCACCACATAGCGATTGTGCTATGACTACCACCAGCTGTCTTCCTGTGTTTCTTTGGCCTAACACTCCAGCTACAACAGTTTTGTGTGGCCTTTTGTGAACAAAGTGGGATGCTTGTATTCATGTTGTAATCATTCATGTATGGTTCCATGTCTCTCTGGTGTTGTAACAAATATCCAAGACAACTCAATTTGCATACAGAAGTGTTGATGATATTGCCCTTCATTTCTCTCCAACCTCAAACTTAAGGTTTCAAGGGTCTTGACTAGTTTAAATAGCTTGTTGGAACTGGTGCTAAACTAGTACACAAGGTGCTTTAATATATTTTAGGTTTCTGTAATTCCACACTATTTGAAATAGTGTGAAATACTTAAAAACAAGTCAAAAATCATAGTACTGTGACCACCTACGGTTAGACCTATGCGAAACACTCTGCTAGTGAACTTTAAAACCATTTACGTTTTTACTTATACATAGCCCTTTATAATTAAAGGAAAGGGGAAGTAAATCTGTCAATATCTACTGGTACCATCAAAGCTTTGCTGTTATACCAGACCCATTATTTTGAGACTTGTGGTGAAGTAGGCTATATAGTGCAATACATGCTTTGTGTACAGGGGAAATAATTTTTTTTCTAGAAGCCGCACCACAGAAATACAATACTTGGGGGGCGGGGATCAAGTCTGCATGCTAAATGTAAACATTTAGATTTAGTACAATAGTTCATTAGTTTTGCTCTTTTAATAGGATGCTTTACTATAGATTTTAAAATGTTGCACTACTGTTTTCATGCAGAGAGCATGCCTTTTCAGTTGCTAACATAAAATGAAATTGTCTTTATGTTATGCCATTGTAATTTTTGTTCAATAAGCCTGATGATGTAAATGTATACAATAAAGACTGCCACACCGACTGTAACTTTCATACATTAATCCTATAGATAATGCACAAGCAGATGCTGCAGGAACACCAGCGGGGTAAACTTCATGTCAGCTTTCTTAAGTGGAAAAGGGTGCTCTTGAAAATATTTTCTTCAAAGCATATAAGCTTTGGGTCATTTTCTTAGAGAGAGGAGTTTGTTCTGTACGATTGAAGTCCTAGTGCTTTAACTTATCCGACACACTGAAAACTGCTTAAAAATTTTTTTGACCCTTGCTGCTCTCCCTTTGTTCAACATTTTTAATATATACAAGGCTGTGAAAAAACCTGTTCTTGAGCCTACACTATGGGTTTTTTGTATTAAGCAGGTGGGTCACAGTTTATGCCACTGTTAACACTAAGAAAGCACTCGGCACTTCTATTATCAGAAGAGATGACCATCTTAAACACTGATGTTAGGGAACCTGGACAGATTACACATTGTGAAGATTTATAGTTAGATGCAGTCCCCCTGAACTTTCCAAGTTTTTGCCCATTTTCCAGAGAATATACAAATAAAATAAACAAAGAACAGAAGCATTACTGCAACTGGCACACAAAGCCTATTTTAACACGCATTTCTCTCGACCCTGAACAGCTTCCCAAAGTGGCATTTATCTGTAAGCCACAGATAAACCAACATCCTGTTTTATGATCGTTATATGGGGAATATCTATAACCTCATCTGTCTTCCAGAAAAATTCACAGCACTATTAGTACTTTATATTTAACAAGTCAGTCCTGAAACTATGTTCTCCATCCTTTTCAATGTTACTGCAAGTATTTCACACTTTCAGGTACTAGAATATTTACACTCAGTAACATATTAACGCTGTTACGATTTCAGAGCGGCAATCACAGAACGTAACATAAAAGAAGGCTAAAACAATTAGGCTCAAGTAGCAGATCCCAGTAGAAGAAATCACGCAGAAAACAAGAAGGTTGTAGTGTCAGGAAGGAAAAATGGTTGGTTTGTACTCCAAACTCCTGGGTAACAGCAAATGCAGTTACCTGAGGTAGTAGAGACTGGACGTACCTCATACACATTAGATACTGCTCACATGCAACAGTTCCTATTCCATTTAGCATGGCACACAGAAACTGGCAATGTAACTTCCTGCAAATGCAGCACCAAGCAACCACAAAAAAGGAAAAGATGACTTCAGAGTTTGGAAAGAATTATTTACCTTTGTAGCAATGTAAAGAAAAAAAAAAAAGGACTGGTTTGGGTGAAAGAGAGGTGCAAGACGGTGGATGTAACTGCAGATGGAACAGGGTGCAGAAAAATACGAAGCATCTACAAAGGCAAGAGCTAAGGAATAGATTGGAAAGACAGGTAAACAGTTGTTTAGGAATTGGGAATTAATTTAAGAGAAATAATGAAAAACAAGCCATGCTACGCCACATGGAAATGAAAAAGCCACATCTTGTAAGAATACCTCTGTGGTACTCACGTAATGAAGGAAAGCAGATTTCAGTACCCTCTATAGATGTGACTTGGATGCTCATGGAAAGCTTCAGCCACAGGAAACCTCACTAAGCACTACCAAGAGATACCCATAACAAACATTATAGTTCATACTTTTGTATTTGACCATCATCTTGAAAATTAGTTTTTTTCCTTCTCTGGATTTGAACCCACTGATTTATCTTTGCAAGTTCTAAATATTTGATGAAAAGCTCAAAATTTAATGTCCACAAATGTAACCCACAGGCCAGATCAAGCCACCAGGCCAATTTATTCAGGTGGAAATACAAATGACCTCACCACCTCAGTCACACGATGGCATACCAGGACAGCTACATGGTCCTCCTCTAAGTTACGGACAGTTTCACACAAAAGGATCCTCCATTATAGGAGGCAGAGGCAGGACAGTCAGTTTTCAAAGGGCAACTTGTAAGAAAAAAAAAGGACCATTTCGCTATTATGCACTGAAATTGTTAAAATAGATTCAAAAGGCAGCTGCTGACTCATAAAAGCAAAGGTTAAAATTCAAGGGAATTGGGGTAACACATCAGACAACTACAGTGCAGTGCCATACAGTAGCTAGCTAAAAGCCAACACCAGAAAGCCTAGACTTGCAGAATAGGTGTGTTAGCTTTTTTCCCCCTCTAAAACCACTAAGATTACTACAGAAGTCCACTCTTCTATTGGAGAAAAGGAAATTCACAGTACACACTCATGGCTGTTGGCTACCAGGCTTGGCAGCCACAAACCTGGAATCCTAAGCAGCAAAGATGTGATACGATAGGGTTGTATGCAGAGTGGTTTAAAAGGAAAGAGTAATCACACACCACCAATTAAACAGGTGTAGTACCACTTATTATAGCTCCACATAGAATATACATTCAGCTATACTTTGGCAATAGCAGGAAAAGTACAAGCCTAAAAAAAGTGAAAGATGTTTCCTATGACAGCTCCCTAATCTCCCTACCAGCCTATTCCAAAGCATGAGCAACATGACCATCGGAAGTAATTTCCTCACATCTAATCCACATTGTAATTAGAATCCACAATTCCGCCCCATCCACTTCAAATGGGAATCCCTCC